TATTATTATATCATACCATATTGTGTATGTTATCCTCCAGTATATTAATTACTATGCAAAGCCCCTTATCCGAGGTCCTGGGGCTGGGCGACCGCCACTTGGAGAACATCTGCATCACAAAGCAGGGCCAGTGGAACGCTCAGCCCGGGTTTTGGGGTTGAGGGTTAGGGCTAGGGGTTCAGGGTTTGCGGTTTGGCGGTTAGGCGCCGGGTTTCGGGGTTGGGGGTTTGCAGCACTTAGCTACGGGGAAGAGGTCTGCATAATACTCGTGTCCCCGTACTCTCCCTGTATGCGCTATACTTTAATCTACTAGAGTATGCTCCAGAGCCCTATCCGAATCTTAAAGGCACCCCGCCGTAGTGGCTTGGGAGAGCTTGGAACTTCTCTCTTCTTCGGGTGGAGTCCAGCGCGAAAGCAGCGCGAGATGGTTTCAGATGCAGGCATGTCGGCAGGATCACACCTGGGAGTGACAGTGACACTGGGCGTGCAGATCACCGGCACGAGCCGAGGTTTTTCCATATCGATTTCGGATACTTCCTTGGAGAGGACCCGAAGCCTGCACCTCAAGGGTCGCCCAGCAACGTTACTGAAGTCAGACTTGTCGATTAACTATTACGGCAGTTGTGGCGGAGATAGAGCTTCAGTCATGGCCTCGCCCTACTCAGGCCTTTCGCACCGCAGGTCAGGCTTCCGGCCCAAGTCGTACTGCACTGAGACGGGGTCTGGAGCTTTTGCCAAACAGAACAGGGTGAGGTGCATGAGCAAGGTATACAGAATACAGGCAGTTCTACTTTGTATACCTACCTGCCTACCTACCTACCTACCCTACCCTACCCTACCTACCTACCTACCTACTGGATCCTGCTGGCCTCCCTGCCGGCCTAATTGCTAACCGACCTGCTTGCACGCATGGCAAAATCACACATGTGCATTTGTGGTCACAAGCATGCGCGCGCTCAAGTGTTTGCCTGCACGCTTGCTTCTTGAATTGAAGTCTCATTGCGTATGTGCATGCATCTTACATGCACATTCAGATGCACCTGGCATCGAACTTTCCCCAGGCTTTTCCTATGCTGTGCATATGAGGCGCAAGCCCTTCTGGCTTCGAAGCGTATCCACCAGCTCTACACCTTGACCAGGTCCGATCCCACATTAGCTCTCTTGAATCTCAGGGCTTAGGGATGTCCAGGGTGTAGGGTTTAGGAGAGGCTCTATCGGATTATAGATTGCTACGGTTTGCCGAGCTTCGACCAAGCAAAACTGAAAGTTGTATTGACTCGACCTCGCCAACTACTGCAGTTCGAGCTTGTGAGAGGGCGGCTCCGCACGACACGAACTCAGAATCTGGGCAGAAAGTGCTCTCAATAACCCTGGTTCATGATGAATCGAACGGAGAACCATAGACTCTCGTCGCAGACATTGCAACCCTGCGCAGCGTTAGAGCAGCTACTCGACAGCCCTCTGCGGAGAGCCGGGACTCCTGGAGAGGAAACCTATGCCAACGCTAGGCAGCGACATGCTGGGTGAGACTTGACTTCGGAGTCTATTAATTACGTGCGGTTATGTATTGTAATAACTAAAGGATTATTATTTATTTGGGGTTATGTATTATAAGGATCCGACAATTCGCTCTACAACTCGGGTTTGTGAACCCCCCAAGTCTTTAAGCTGCAGCTGTGCAGGCGGGCATACCTGGCCTTGCGGCCATTTGGCACTCTGTTCGCCGGGCTCTTGAACTTAGAGGCAGGGTCGGTACATGGCAGGCCTCTGTGGTTTTGTTGTATCCGAATGCTTAGCGTAGAACATCGAAGAGTCATGGCTTTTTTAGCTTCATCCTGCTATCATTGTTGCGCACAGAAGATGACAACTCCCGTCCAATCGAGCCTAGAGGACCTGAGCCCGACTTCATGCGCCTTCAGTGGGCGCTCTTTCGTTTATGTTGACGACTGGTTAGTGGGATACTCACATGAGCTAGCAATCAGTGGAAAAGGCAGGCGATGCTTTGCACCCAGGTTCCAAGAACTGAGGTTGAAGCTGCAGATGATCTGACGATTTTCCGGTTTAAGCTCTTCCAAAGCATGGCGTTACACGTGGCGGCCTGCATGGTGTTGAGATTGAAAGAGCCCTTAGGTAATCCGCTTGAAGCCGGACCGGTTCCGAAGGCTTGCAGACCGAGTAGGGGCGAATTGCAAGCAACTCTGCACACTGTCTGCCGAAACTTAAACTCAGCCAATGAATGCCACTGACAGAGAGTGGAGGTCGACAACGGCCAAAGGTATGGCCGGCTGGCCAAGGACAGGGCAAGGGGCTGCAAGGGATTTTGGGCGTGGACAGAGTGGGGGTGAGGATTCAGGGAGTTTGAGTTCGTAAGGTTGGGGAAGTTCAGGGTGAGGATGTTGATGGTTGTTTTGGATTGGGCAAGTGCTTGATGCCAAAAGTGTTGTTTTGCAGCGTACCAAGCGTAGGGTTCTGTGTGGCCATGTGCAGTCATCATGTTGATCATACCGCGATTGTTGAACTCAAGCCCTCTGAGTAGAAAAGCATGGTTGCCTATTGCTCATGGCTTTACGGCGTACCCTGTGGATTCTATAAAAAGGGACCATAGCGGTTCTTGATGGTTGCAGTTTCAGTCAGCTCCCCAATGACTCAACCCGATAGCCTCTCCAGGATGCCGAGAGTGCCATCGCAGGGGCCCGGCGCCCAATGCAGTTGCCTTTGCTTCCCCTTGCTAATAGCAGGAGGAATGAAGCAGGGGTCATGCAAACGGTAGATGTAGACAGAGCCACTTCAAGAGATCCTTTTATCGTCGTTTGATCGTTTCCGAAACCCTCGTGAGACCCAACCCAAAAACACTGCTTGCTCATGCTGTGCAGATGCTCGAGCGTCTTCGCATCGACCAGGCCTGCTTTTGGCTTGAAGTTGAATTAGGGGGTGGGGTAATAAATAGGTCACCCTCAGATTCACGACCCTAGAATGCAATTTAGAACCACCCAGTAACCCCCCAATTGACTCATTGGCAAGCACAGTGGCAAGATTGAGCCAACATACGTCAACACAGTCAAGGTGTTAGCTTCACTTCAGGATACAGACGCGACGTTACTCATGTTCCTGTGCATGGATGCCAAAATCAAACAGTTTCAAGCCCAGTCGAGATAGCACACCTCTGCAAAATGCATGTACTCCTTCGCTCAAGTTGTTTGCGCAACATTTTATTGCCGATTCCTCGTAATTGTCAAAGCAACACATCTTCTTTGCAGCTACAGGTAGCTGTTATATCATATTATATCATATTCTATCATATTATATTATATTATACTATATAATATAATATGTTAGATGCCTTCGGAGCTGTGCGGCAACTCTGTGGTTTTTGTGCACAACGAGAGGCCTCTGTAGATACACGTCTTCAGCATGAGACATGAGATTTCTTTGCTGCCAGCCACATGGCCAAACAGTGGCATGGAAACCACTCCGGAACTCAGGTCGCAGTAAGGCTGAAAACACAAGCGTGTGCTGGGCAGCTAACATAGCCTCCGGCTTCGACAGCAAAAGAAGTCGCTGTGTCCCCGCGCTGAAAGGAAGATGACGAGCGGGCTGCAGCTGAGTTTCTGGCCTTGGCCGAGCTCTCAATAAGACAGCTATCCCTTTTACCTGATACGGCTGCTTCCAGGTTTGGGATATTCGAAAGTGCTAAGCTGCTAAGAGGATCAGACAAGCAAAATTGCATGACAAAAGCTGCCAGTGACAGGCAGCTGTAACAGATCTTTGTTGCTGCAGCAGCTGCTACGATTCATTGTGTAACGACTTCTGTTGCTTGTCTGTCGCCACAGGCATCAGCTGACCTTAAGGGAGCTGTGCTAGTTCTGTAATGTTGCACCCGCTACTGCAGGGGTCCTCGCCCTTGGCGCAGCCTTTTGGTTCATACAGCCATGCACCATAAGGGATGTGAAGCCAGGCTGAGTGCTAGACCAAGGGACCGAACAGGCTCAGCTGAGGACAATAGCTGTCTGTCTTCATCACGGAGAACTAGAACAACGTAGGTATGCCTTTGCAACATGACATGTTTGTCACATCCTCACTTCACGGCACTGTGGGCAGCAAGGTTTAGCATACACGCAACTTGCAGAGAAGACGGTCATGGCACAAGAAGCGATCACACTGGCGAGGTGTTTCCGTCGTCCAGAAGCAAACGCAGAGAGAACCCACGACAAACCCAAACGCTTGGCCTGTGCAGCATGCCCGGCACAGAAAGCTCCGATGCCCGTGCGCTGGCGGCGGCCCCTCTCGTGCCAGCCCAGAGTGTCAGGCTGGAGCGGCTTGTAAGTACCAGGACCCTGTACCCTACACATGTAAACTGTCATGATACTGCTGGCGAACTGTGAGATCGTTTCCCTTGCTCTTGCTGCAACGGCAGCTTACGATATGTGATTATTGAAGCCTCGTTGTCGCTTCGAGCTCGGGGTCTGCGGTTCTGACATCGGCTCGGGCCTCTTATGGTCTCGCTGTCATGAGCGGCCTCGGCTCAACCTCAGCCAGGGACTCCCCTTCAGCCCTGCAGAATGGGGGCCATTTCTCAACAATCATTCCGATGCATCCTGCCCTGAAGAGGTGGAGGTCGAATGCTACTTTTCAGCGTGTTCTGGGCTTGACCTTGAAAGCATCGCTGCTCTCTGCTGACCGTGGCTTCGACATGCTCAGCCTCTGGAAAATTATTTCTGACCCTACGAGTACTTGGCTCGATGTGGCCACTCGGCAGAAACTGGCCACGGTCGCTTTGTCGCTTTGTCACATCCTTTGGAGCCGCCCTTGCGATCGATGATCTCAGTCTGTCACATTGGACACGAGCACGGTTTCGGGTGCCACCACGTCGCAAGCATTTCTGCACACATTATGCACATGTACAAGCAGTCTTCAATGATGCCCCTCTGTACCAAGTTGAATATCCGTTGGCAAACTGCAGACACGCCCCCCAAAGCTGACGTAAGCACTAAACCGTGCAGGTGCAGCAGACAAACTTCTGGCTTTTGTGCTTTGGAGCATTGGCTTCAACGGTTTTATCGGCACTGACACTGAGCCGACACCGCGCCGCCATTCGCCAGAACCGCCCATACGGCTGGGGCCTGGCCTTGTTCATCGCTGCAATCCAACTTGCCCCCATTGTGGAAATGGTGGACAAGATTGGAGACGGTTTCTGCTGGGGCATTGGTGAGGAGGACATGCTGAGCTCGGTTGCATCTGTGAGAGCCTCAGATTATCACCTATTATTATTACTACTATGTCGGTGAAGGAATTAATTAGATCACAGACTTGCATCAAAAGTACCAGCGCATGCCTTCCGGAAGGTGGTCAGTTCTCCACACGATGGGCCCATTTCATCCGCAAGCATGGCTCGGCGGTCGAGACGCCAAGCTATGGCGGAGATGAAAGGCAGCCGGTATGGTGAGAACCTGATGCGTGGTCTGCGAAAGCTGACGATTGCTAGCTTGCCTTTGATCCTTCTGCCGCTCGAGTACAATTCGTTTAAGACCAAGACATCAAACGCACTGAGACCTCAGATCCGTTCCATTGAAGATGTCTGGCACTGAGGTCGGCAATCGTGCATTCCGCAGCTCTGCCGCACAGATTATGGAACAGGCTCACAGGACAAATGTCGCAAGAATCCTCGCATTTTCGTGATATGCGGTTGTGAGGCATGGCTCCGAGAAATCGCTCAAGAGCCGCATGCATGGGATGCAGATTATTTCGCGGAAGCATCAGCGCTGGCCGTGGGCATCGTTTGCTTGGCCATGGCATGCGCCGACACCCTGCTGTCAAACAACAGGTTTGAGGTTGATCTGAAGCCCTTCAGCTCCTGCTACATGTTCATGGTTTTAACTTACACGATAGAGTTGTATTTCAGAAGAAGTGACTGAGGAGTCTTGATGGCAAGATCTTGGATGATGAAGTGTTAAGTTGAGAAGGAGTATGAGTCCGTCGCCGGCGTTGTAGAAGTGAAGTAGTTGTAGTAGTCCAGCAGCAGTCCAGCAGAAGCAGGAGCAGTCGCCGGAGTCGCAGTCGCCATAGGTGTCCATGTTGTAGGTTATGGATCGTTCAGCGACCCTGAAGAACATGGATCCAGGCTGTGCGGATTCGATGTCTTTAGCACTCCAAACTCGTCCAAACTTCAGCTTTACTTAAATTAAGCCCTATGCACACCAGGGAAATATCTTGCAGTGGAGGGTTTAGGGGAGCTCACCGGGCGACGAGGCAAGCCCACCGCAACAGACTATTTTTGTACCGGTTTCGGGCCTCAGTGCGTGTGACAAAGCGACACACGACGCTGCCTGCCGCATACCTTCAGGTGCTTGCTTGGCTAGCCTTAAGGATCCAAGTGCGCGGGGTGTGGTGGAGTTTAAGCATTCTCTGAGTCCCAAAACCAACAACTCAAAAACATCTAAATTCGTGGTGGTTGATGGACCACTCGTCGTGAAGCCTTGCCTCCGAGTCTCCGAGTGTGAGAGTCGAAGCCCTTAAAGCTCAGGACCATAGTCTTTGGTGTCTAACTGCCTGAGCAGATACTGTAGATGACGTGACCCGATTGCAGCTGAAAGGATGTGGTGCTCTATGTTTGGGTGGACGATGCCTTCGTGCGCACACACAAGAAGCTGGTGCAGATACATTACTTCATCGAGATCCTGACCAGGTCCATCTACGAGCCATGTAGTCCTTCAGATCTCATGCGTGGGAACTCGAAGACTGGATTTTTAGTGCCTAGCGGTCTAGTGAAGAGTGCAGAAAAACAAAGGGTGAAGTTCATGGCCTGACCGAGCAGGCTCCCCCTTTGCCTTCTGCTACATACTGTTCACTTTGACAACTGGAACCCACTTCTTTTCCTTTGGATGCTGGGCCGGCTCTTGTTCAATAGTTTTATTTCACGTTACCATATTGCGACAATTCCACAGAGTGAACAATATGGCTTCTCTATTTTAATGACTCAGATTCTGATCCTTAACCCTAATAAATCCTAAAGATGGACTTCTGTTTTGGTCATGCCCCAGTCCTCCGTGCTTTAGTTTCAGCCGACTCAAGACCGCCTGCCTCGCCTGGATTGTCCGAGTATGAAACCCTCAACCCTATAACCCTAAGTTTCACGCCGACCTCGCACCGTGAACCTCGCCTGGCTTGTCCGAGGTGTGAGAGCGTAAACCGAGGAGGGAAAAACACCCTAAATCGAAACCCTGAAGATCCCAGGATGGGTGACGTGACAACCAGCGTCCTGCTACTGCTGATGCCAACGCTCTGGGGCTGGACGCGACGGCGGCTCTCGTGCCGCCACGCCTGGAGCCAGGCTTGTTGACATGGGGGTTTCAGAAAAACTTGGTGACAAGGAGCCCGCAAAATGGGGTTCTATATCATTCAGGGTCCCCTGTTTGTGGTACTCCCATATACACCTGCTGTCGTTTAAACTCCTTTAGGGTTCGGTGTGTTGGGGTTTCGGATATAACTACTGGCGTGCGTTTTACCCTGTTGAAACTACTCCGTTGTTTACAGATTTGTGATTTGGCAGAAGCTTCCGATGATATCTGGGGTGTCAAGCGAACACCACGGCGCTTGTAATTATTAATGAGCACGACAGGAAATCGTGTTTCTCGAGGTCGCCAGTGCAGTCATCATGTCCCAGATCCTTTTCTTTGTCAACATCACGGTCTTCGACCCCCGCGAAGCTTTCCAGTTTGTTAATGCCGGGTTTTACATCGCCACAGCCCCAGCATCCGATCCTGCCGACATGCCTGTCCCAACGAGCTGAGTGTTTGCATGACAGAGCCGAGTGAAGCTCAGGTAAAGTATTTGGAGGCATTCATAATCTGCAAAACGCTCCAGTGGCATGGTGGATTTGAATTCCGCTTCCTACAGCGGCTCAGCGCTCCTCACCTCAAAAGGCACCAGAGATGGGAGCCCCTCAATCTTGCAGTGGCAAGGGCTTCCTGTCCACAAGATTTCGTCACCAAGGAGTTTGAGCTTGCCGCTGTACTTCTCAGTGCAGCCGTCGTGCTCTCCTCAGTCTGGGGAGTTTTTTTCGCAGTTGCTCAGTATGCTCTGGGTGATCTTAGCTTGAGTTAGGATTGCTATGGATTGCTGTAAAAGTTACTACTTGCAAGTATAAGGATGATTTTTCAGAGTTACTCCAGGGGTCACGATAAGGGTGACGATTCTGTGAGCATTGGCCTGCTGACCTATGCAGCAGTGTGCAGATGCATCCGATGTGAGACGCGACCTGCTCCGAGACGCGCAGGTATGGGTCGTGGTGCCAAAGATGCGAGCGCTCCAGGATGCGACTACCTCTTCCGCCGCATGTCGCGCAATTTGTAACATTGTTGGCACTTGTGCCGCTTCGTGGCTGTGAGGCATCGCCGACGGGGTTGATTGTTTCGCGGCATTCAGGCGGAGGTCATCGTTCAGGTAGCTCCAGCGCTACTCTGGAGGTGGCATCAGGGCGGTGCCATATCGAAAAGTCGAAATCCTAGCAGCCTTTGAAGCGCGAAGAATACCAACAGAAAGTGGTGTGCACATTCTCTAATGCAGCGGGAGCCATAACAAGTAGTAGTTGTCGTCGTCGTGGCGGTATGTTTATTATTATGATTATTATTATTATTATTAGTAGTAGTAGTAGTAGAAGTAGTAGTAGTAGTAGTAGTAGTAGTAGTGGTAGTGGTAGTGGTAGTGGTAGTGGTAGTGGTAGTGGTAGTGGTAGTGGTTTTGGTAGTGGTAG